CTCAACAGCTTCCCGCTGCCTTGGTGGCTCGGGGCGCGCCGGTGCTCTCCCCTCGTCCCACCCCAACTCAGTCCCCACATCCCGCCCCATAAGGATCGGAGCGATGAGAACCACGCCGGGATTTTCTGGGAGGGAAATCCCGAGCCGAGGGACCGCCAGAGGAGCCCCCCGGATCGCAGCCAGGTGGGATGGTGGGATGGAGCCGGGGCTGGGAACAGAGCGGGGACAGGGACCACAGCACCGGGGCACCCTCTGCTCCTGTGGGGGAGGACGGATGTACCGGGTCCTGCTGCATGTCCGGGGGTCCCTGTGGGGGTCCCTGCGTGGTGGGGGCAGCCCTGCCCCCCGGCAGCACAGAGGGAGCACCTCAAAGTTGGAGTATTGCCTGGGGTACCCTAAAGCATTGCTGAGGGCACCCCACAACATGGGATGCTCCTGGGGGTGTCCCCGAACCGCGGGGGACATCCCGGCACTCCCGAGAGAAGCCCCCAAAGCGCTGAGAACTACTGGGGGCACAAAAAGACACCCTGGACAGAACCACCAAAGCAAGGAGGATCCCAAAGCCACACTGGGGGAACTCACAAAGCAAGGCAACCACAAAGCCTCCCTGGAGGAAACCGCAAAAAGCAAGGGGGATCCCAAAGAGACCCTATGGAGAACCCTGATGGGGGGACACCCCAAAGCCATCCTGGGTGGGACACCCAAAGAAAGGCGACATGAAAGCCACCCTGGAGGGAACCCCCAAAGCAAAGAGGAACCTAAAACCACCCTGGAGGGAACCCCCAAAGTATATGCACTGCTGGGGGGACACCAAGCCATTCTGGCCAAGCCCCCAAAGCAAGGGAAACACTCCAAAGACACCCGGTGGATGGCATCCCCAACAGGGACGTGTTGAGGGGACACCCCGCAGCACTCCTGGGGCAGAGGGGGGTCCCTCCCGGGGATGGCCCCCCCAACCCAAACCCCTCCCTGCCCCCGCGGGGACCACTCACATGTCCTTGACGGGCAGGTTCCTGCCCTCCACGATGCGGATGGAGAG